CAAATCGATCGAATAAATTCCCGGATGAAAGAGGCTGCCCACAATTCCGGGATATCCTGTATACACACGTGTATACATATATACATTACAGTGTTGGTTATCTGATATTACCGCATCATTATGATTACGACGCGATTATTATTCATTTTAATTATGATCTGATTATTGTCATTGTCACTGCTCTCGCCGTTGCAATCATCGCTACACCGTTATCACTTGTATCTATCGCTGTCGCGAAACACGAGGCGCATATACGCGTTCGGCGCTACAGTGATTTTCAAAATGAGAGACGACACGCGGGTCAAATTAATAAATGCGCATACGCTATATATATATACATATTACAATTGCGAACGTCACTTGCGATACGACGAGGGTGACACGATAATGATGATTCAAGAATCGCGATCCAAGTCGCTCCCGTCTATCCTTTTGGTTGTAGAAGCGAACCGTTGTTCTACGAAATGCGAGGAGGGTAACTAAACGTGTGTGAACGCGAAGAACGAATTAAAGGACTTCCCTTTCGCATATATACACGAACTTTTCACGGACCATCCACCTTTCGGATAACAGTCTTGACTTGTGCCTTGTTTAGACGTTTCCAATCATTTTCCAATCGACTCCGCGCTTCGACTCGCACATCCTACACTCGAATAATAAAACTCTCACCTCCGACGTTGTTCCTTTACGAAGAGAAATACTTGAGAGATCCAATGCGATCGCGCGCGCGTCTCCGCCCCCGTCGTCCTTTCTTTCGAAGAAACGGTCTTCCTCGGTGACTTCTTGCGTATGAAGAAATTGATTCCTCGGCGCTTTCTCGGTGACGTAGCGTGAACTCGTAGAGTAATTGCGATCAAATTTAATTAATTTTTCTCCTGAGAGCCACGGCGTTATCTCGGTTCGACGATCTTGTCCTGCGTAGAACGACCTGGCAGCATGCGATCACCCCATCAACGCACGCGGACATCCCGTTCATTCGTTTGAGAATATAGTGCCGACATCAAATATGCGTTTTACATCGTAGATATAATACACGCAACAGTATCGCCGTATGTGGAACGCGAGTTTTTGGGTCACTCTTTATAACATGTATGCATCAAACAAAGTGAGAGAAATCATGTATACACGCTAATACATACGACACACGTACGTGCTACGTATATGCAGAGTGCCTTGCGACAAACCATATTTATAAGCTTGTTATGTAATTTAAAATCAATTCTCTGTTAAAAATAATTTCTTATTTGTTTAATTTTGAACGGATATTTTCTCTTTTAAAAATAACTTGTTATTATTTATTTAATTATAAACGGATACTTTGTAAAGTTTTAATTCTCTCAAAGAGTCTTCGCGATATTTTTAAAGGCACAAAGTAAAAGACGACATTTAAATTAAAAGAAAAATCGACTTTAAGCTCCTCAAAGAGTCTGTTGATGAAATAATTTGTCGTGTAAATTGCGCAACGCTCTGTATATACAAACACACGCATAATTAGATATTATATATATATACCCAAAGCTTGTATTTCCTGCGTTCGTTCGTGTAAAGCCTCATTTCGTCACACACACACAACACACACACATATTTATGATAAGTAAACCGTTTAAGCGGCGTCTCATTATCGTAACAGAATCGTTTAACTTCGAAAGCGTCTTTCAGGGGAGAAGCTCGCGCTTTTGTGCAGCTGAGCGTGATCTGCTGTAATAGTCCTTCGTTTCCTTCTTCTTCTCTTTGTTTTCTTTTGCAAGCGACTGAACTAAAGTGCTGTGTGTGATTCCTCGTGGCTACGTTGCGTTCTATACGCGAACTCGATGTGGCGCGTACCTTCATTACGTATCCCTTGGCTCTTACGTTTAGCGTGGAATTAGACATAATTTCGTTTGGCGAGTAAAAATCTTATCAGATTCCGAGCGCGACGATTCTCGTTTTATCACGGATCTCGCGCAAATCTGAAAACAAAGACTCGCGATAATTTCCCCGATTGTAAATGTAATTCAAAACGATTCGCCGGGAAATTTGCATTTCTTTCCTTTATCACCCGAATACATCGCGTCTTCGCGATCCTTATCGCCGAGATTGAATTTTACCGAGCTTCTGTAAACGGATTTTCCAATCTTATCGTTCTCATTTTCCTCCTCTCGTCGGCGAGAATCGTCGAGGAGAGAACGGAAACGAGAAGAGAATAGAATTTTCGAAAATTACCCTCTCGAGTCGCATCGAACGCAACTTAATCGAGTTTCACCGAGAGACAATTTTATGTACCTGTTACGACTGATTATTATCGTGTTGTACATCGCTAAGGAACAGTGAGAGAGAGAATACGTGTACATGTATGTACATACACATGCCCGCGCGCGCGCGTATGTATATATATCTATATAGTATATTACCGTAATGTTATACGGATTGTTTTGTAAACTATCGTTATACATCATTGGCTGCTTGTTACCGACGGCTTTTGCGATCGGCTGATAAACACATCGCTGAACCATATGTACATATCGAGTTCTAAGAAGGGCACGCGGGGAGCGTGCGTACGGGAGAAGGGTCAGTTGCACCACGAGTTAGCACATTTTTTAATAGAGATACTCGGATTAGAGATCCACACTGGAGAGACTCCTCGCTTCCTTTTCACCGCGATAAGAAGATACATGTAAAAGAGCGAAATTCGATCGCGCGAATTGTTTTTGTCAACGATACCTCGACCCTTGCTCGGTCAAACTTCGGATAAGTCAACCCTGGTGAAAAAATGTCTCAGAATTTCTATAAAAAATTTCCTCAAAATGTGCTCGGAATTTTTCAGATTTTTTTATACGAATTGGAACGTTTTCCAGAAACACTCAAACAAAGTACTAATGAAATATTGCAGATTTTTCCCGTCAACACATTTTTGTGGAAATAAATATATCTGCGCAATCGATCAGAAATATTTTAGTACCCATATGAAATACATACGGGTACTGGAATATTCTGAAAGTCTTTCATCCAATAATCTTTCTGAAAGTATCTATATATATTTTTGTTTAGAGTTATTCACAGGTTTATATTCTCAAAAAATTTCTGAGAAAATATGAGAATTTTTTTTCACCAGGGAAATGCAGGAGAGATTGGAGAGATTTAATTAATTGCGATTAACGCTAACTGACATTGGTACAACGGGCCTACATCGTACGAACGCATCGTGGGCCGAATTATTTAAATTTAAGGCGTGCAACGTTCGCCTGCATATCACTCGCACGATTGTTTTTTTTTTTTTTGCAAATGATGCGCGGAAGATAGATACCTTGATGCTCCTTTAACGAACTAAAAATTATAATAAAAAAAACGAAAAAGCGTATCTCGAGAGAGATGTACGAAGGGACCCGATGTCTTGTAGGTACATTAACGTCGCCGTTAACGTATTCTATTGAGAAATTCCCTTGTCCTGTCATATAAACTCCAACATTTCGGTTATTCGATCGAGAAGCTCGAGTGTAGGATTATTTCTCACAAATATTAAATTATTCTCATCTCTTTCTCTTTCTCTCTCTTTCTCGCTTTCTCTCCATTCTTTTTCCAATTATTTCGCGCGGCAATATCTGCGAAGCACGGCGTGATCGCATTTCCCTATTTAATAACTGTACCTGTCTAAAGCGTGTCGTTTAATTAAATCTATTTTCTACGCTCTGTGCCAGCGTCGTGTTTGGCGTTTTACATGACAGATAAGGTCCCGGAAATCGCGTGTGAAAAAACGCGGCACGTTGCCGCCCCGGGATACGACCGGGCCGCAAGAAGGAGGAAAACACATTGGAGATTGCGCGACACTTTAACTCTTTTCCAAACAAAAAAAAAAGAAATATGTAGCCTTAGAACTCCGTTTCTCTCGTTCCTTTCACGCGAGCGTCGCCCGATGGATGTGACGTCGTATCTTCTTGAGGATGAAAAAAAAACCGTACAGAAAATATAATAAATGCATCGGAAATATGTGCGTATGTGTGTATGTGTGTGCCTCCCATCCAATTTTGCAGATCTAAAAGGAGCCGGGGATTCGTGTTTCGCCCATTTTTTGCGTAACGGAGAAGATCGCAAGAATTAAAGAGACTCATTAAAACTCGTTTTTAATGATCGCCGTAGAAAAAGTTGACGAATTATAAATTGATTGCACATTAAAACCTGTCGGCCTTCTTCAAGCGGAGGTACACTCCGGACGAAACGCTTCTCCGCTGAAGAAAGTTACGACCGTGAGAATAACGCTTCCCAATAAAAGTTGCCTTCCGACTCGTAATTTGCCGTATAATTATCTTTTCGTAATACACGCCGAGAAATGCTTGCGGTAAGTAACTACTAAGGACATTCAAAATATCCAAAATCCGAGAGCCTTCGAGTAATAAAACCAAAGCCTAACGCGTCGAAAATGCTATCACGACGCATTGATCTCCAGATTTTATTTTACGAAGCGAATCTTTCGCGAAGAAGTCTTAGAAATTCGGGAAATTTGGGAGAGAGGTGTACTTTTTCAGTTCGTTCGTCACGCGTTGTTTTAGATTGATTGCTATATCATAAAATGAAAGAAAAAGAGAGAGAGATAGGATCAAGGAGATGATCCTTGGAGCACATCCATCCGGGCGACGTCCGTCAGCAAGAGCCGCGATGAGAGCCGTAGTCTCGGACTTAAATAATTCTCGCGGCGTTCGAGAAATGGCATTCAACGACGATGGAAGAGAACTGTACATACACACGTGCGTTTATTATTACCTACTTACTACTACGAGACTTACTTCTAAGATCTTTTGGCTAAAATACTTTATAAAAGCGAGACTCTCTTGCGCATGGAGAACGATATATAAAAATGAAAAAGAGCGAGGTCACTGCATCGCATTGTTTAGCGCCATTGTGACTCTATCCCCTTCTTAAAAGAATAAGCATGTACACATATGTGCATGAACACGTACGCATATATGTATATACTTATTGTATTTGTTTATACATATATATATATACATGACACGCGCGTATATAAGACGCATCGGTACTATTATTATCATTATTATGGTTACACGGTTCTTATCATTATTGATATCGTCTTCACTATTATAATTATCATTGTCGTGTGAAGAGAGAATACGATGAGTAATTATTATATAAACAAAAAATAAATGAAAGGAAACTCTTACTTATACATATAATTATAAATACGTCATGACGATATATTCGTAAAAACGATTAATTATTACGGTAAACGTAACGACATTATTATTACTATTATAAATAACACCCTATTCCCCCATCTGTTGTGAATGTTTACGTTGTTTTATGATATTTAGAATATTCTAAAAATAAAGTCTATAATTTCCACGAACTCGTGTCGTTCAAAACACATTTCCCAAAATATTCCACAGGGAGTTGAATGTTAATTCAACGTTAATATTATTTGTCACTATAAAAAATAATTTTGTTACGGAAATATCTATATTATTTATTGTTCTGAGGCAAGTCGAGACGTGCGCGAGAATTAATTTTGGATCCTTATAGATAATGAGAAAATTTAATTCAGGAATAAAAAGTAACTTTTGAAGTTTCTTATCAACCACAATAATCGATCGTCTGAGAAAAAAGGCGTCTTCATTTCCTTTCTCTAACGAAGCTGAATGTTTAGATAAGTAGGTATATTGAATAGTTTGATAAGATGCAAACGATTCACTTGAAAGATAAATAAAGCTAATTACACAGCAGCACGATATCTTTTCCGCATATAAATTGAAGGCGTTATCTACGATATTATATAAGTCTTTAACATGTCTTTTAGACACGTATGTCTAAAAGATATCACGCGTGCTGTGTAGGCAAGATCAAACAGTCTCAATGACATGATTAATTCTTTAAAATCGACGAAAATTTTTAAAAGAAAAAAAAATCTCAAAACAGACCGGTTTTTACATCTCATTTTTAGTGCTCTCTTTTTTTTAATTAAAACAATTCGAAACGCATTCCTTCCTTTTCGCATTTAGGACGTCGACACCCAGGAAATGGAGAATCGTCGTGTCCGACGGGGCGCCGCGCGGCGCAAGGTCGCGCGCGCGACCGGGGCGACTCCGGTACTCCGGTAGTCCGGTGCCGCAGAGGCGATAAATAGAAGCGGCGCGAGCGCGGCGATTGTTCACCGCACCACACGTCACGTCACGTCACGTCACGTTGCTCACGCCTCGCCTCGCCTCGCCTCGCCATCGGTCTTCACATCGGGACTGTCAACTGTCAAGGAGTCCTCCGTCGACGGCGCCGAAAAACCGTCCTCCGGGGAGAATTGGCGTGCGTGCGTGCGCGTGGACCCAGGAATATGTGACGCGCGGGACCGGAACGCAACGCGCGTTATCGGTCAGTGCGTCGGTGGGATCAGTGGAGAGACGAGAGGCCCCGTCGTTCCGCGTCGCTCCTCCGTGACGCGTATTTCCCGTGCACGGCTGCTTCGACGTGCCCGCGCCCCCGACGAGGGAAGCTGCCGCCCGAAGATGTCATTCGAGGGGAAGTACAACGCGAAGAGCCCGGGTGAGTCGAGGTCGCGACACGTCGCCAATTGCGCCGGTCGAAAAACGTTTTGTTTTGACCCCCTCTGACATATTTGTGCCACGAGGCTGTTGTAACCGCGGTTACCCCGCGGCTGCCAGCTGGCCAGCTTACCGTATATTCGCTTCTTCACGGCGATCGTATTGACGCAACATTATCCTGGGGTGACGTGTGGGATGAGACACCTTATGTATATTACGTATACATAGCGTGTTGATATCTCAACGTTGCCTGTCCATTTGCCACCTCGTTATCAAAGTATATTTATAGTTATCATAGTATATTCATAAGTGTTGCAAAAAGACTGTTATCTCATTGAATGTATATGTAATCGTAGCGGTGAAGAGGTTAATGAGGGAGGCACAAGAGCTGCACGAGGCTACCGAAGAGTATTATGCGTCTCCTCTCGAGGACAACCTGTTCGAGTGGCATTTCACGGTGCAAGGGCCACCGTCCACGGACTTCGAGGGTGGCGTTTATCATGGGAGGATCTTGCTACCGCCGGAGTACCCTATGAAGCCACCAAATATCATCCTGTTGACAGTAAGTAGATGTCAGAGACGAGCTACGTATGTACAAATTGTGTTATATATACACATGTTTCTTCCTTCCTTTATTTAGCCAAATGGACGTTTTGAAATAAACAAGAAGATATGCCTGAGCATCTCCGGCCATCATCCTGAAACGTGGCAACCGTCGTGGAGTATTAGAACAGCGTTGCTGGCTCTGATAGCTTTCATGCCCACGCCTGGAAGCGGCACGATCGGCGCATTGGATTACAGCACGGAGGAACGGCAAAAGCTTGCTAAAAAGTACATATATGATACGCGATTAAACAGAATGTTGCAAAAAAAATGTCACGTACTCCTGTAATCGATTCTTACATTCCAGATCGCTGACCTGGCAGTGCGATACGTGTGGTAAAGTCGTGAGTTTGTTGTCCAAGAACTCGGTTAAGAAACCCATCACCGAGGAGGAGCAAACCATGCTGAAAACAATTGCTCTCAAAGTAAGCAGTTTTAAATATGCACAATGTATCTGTTATAAACATATACGGTTGAACATATATTTTTATGTAACATACAATTATCATGTTGTTACGAATATCGTAGACTGTTGCATTTTGCAAGAACTTAATATTTATAAAAAAAATATATATAGGCTGACGATTCACCTACGTCGGAAGTATCATTCACGAATAATATGGAAAATGTGTCCGAGAGCGAGGTGCGGCATCGTAACGTGGAACCGATTCCGACAGAAAATGCAGACCGTCAACAACCTGAGATTATTCTAAATCGCGTAGAGACAATGTCCTCTTCGAACGATTTATTTTGGAGTATTCTTATCGCTTCTTTAGTATCCGCAATTATTTTGTTGATTTTACGGCGATTATTTCTTGTTTAACTTATTTGTTTTTTGCGAAATACGGAAACATGGCATGAAAACAGTAAATTTTATACACGTTTTATGAATATCATTTTTAAGCTTACAAAGAAAATAATCGTGTTCATATTGTTGAATGAATACTGCGAACCATCTGATTTTTCATGAAAACGTGTATAATACATGACGAAAGTACATGCATTAGTATATATTAGTACATCCATATTGTTCTTACAAGCATTTGACTTATACCTCCCACATATAATTTCATTACTGAAATGAGAAGTTAAAATAAATGAATTTTCAATTCGATCATTAAATTACACGTACTAGTCGCTTGCTTTTGTTAACGATATAGTATTGAAAAATAAATTATTATTTATCCAACATTTATCATATATTTTATTTTAGCATATTAAATGATATTATATATATATAAATTGTAGAATTTAGTGTGTATTAGTTATAATTAATAAATTTTGTTTATTTTGATATTTATTATTTTCAAATATTTTTTGTGATTGCCCATATACATTTATACCAAAAATTCAAAAATATATCTGTAAATTCTCATAATTATTATATTACTTTTACCAGTAATTTTACATTATGTAATATACATATATAGCCTAACATGATACTATTTTGTAATAAATATAAGCTATACAAATATGTCTGTATAACTCTATAGCTTTCATACACTTTTCATATGTGTATAGCCACTGTAATAAAATTCAATGTGTAACATAATCCATTAGAGGAAGAGGATTTAGAGCAGGACTTTGTCTATATAAATTCATTTTTTGTATGTACATAGAAATATAATAAAGTAATTATTTATTAAAGCATATATAATATAAACATATTACTTTGTAACATTTATTACAGTCTGTGTAGCGTAATGTTCCGCAATTCCATATTCCATGCTTTTATGCATTCATTGAACTACATCTCTTTACGCTTTTAGTTGATATGACACATTTCTTTGAGTTACTTCTAACATTTAAATATCAAAAAAAGGTGCATTTCTTAAACCTATGAGGCATATTTCATGGATCATATATAACGACATAATAAAAATTGTATTAAAATGATATTAAATGAAATATAAGTAACACAGTCACATAAACTATAGCAAACTTCATAATTTTTTTTATTATTATCTATGTTAAGGCATTCTACATTCACCATTTACAGTAACAACTTCGTTCTTACATGCTCTTTATTACAATAAAATAATTCCTATCGGAAACTTTCTTCTTTTGTACATTTGCTATCTTTCTAAATTATGCGAACTGTTGATGTGTGACTTAAATTGCATATATCTCTCAGATTTTAGATCTAATATTCAATACCTTGAAAATCACATAAAAAATAATATGAGATGTAATAGAATCTCTTGTATACTCTTGTATATCTCTTGTATTTGCATCATTTAAACGATCTATTGTTTTAATATATAATACTACTTCATGTCAAAACAAATCCTTTGAGTGCACATATGTATTAAAAGTTTGAAATATAGAAGTAAAGTATGGCACATGATTTTATTTTGTAAAAAATATTAATTTATTGTCATACGGAAGCTGCGTGAGCTAAAAGCGAAACTAAAACTTAATTAATATTGCTAAAGTTTATGATTAAGTTTAATTTCCCATATAAGCAAGCAAATACCTTATTTAAAAATTGAGAGCAAGAAATATATCTTTTATTTGTCTATACAATTGTTGTACATATGCATATACTGCAAATAATTTTTCTCGATTCGATAGCTTGACATAATTCTTTTCTGTGCTACAGATTATACGATACTCTACACAGTGTAGATATCCGCGTCAGATCTCTGTATTCGGCATACCCTAAGTTGTACAATACACATTTTTGAAACGATATAAATATAGTTATATTGTTTCAAGAATAGTAATATCGAAATAATTGTAATCTCTTTGTAAGTATAGAGCATCTGTTTTAACTCCATCATGAATTTTTATAATACAAAAATACAAACAATATCCCGTTAAATTACAATTGAATCGTTTATCAGCTGGTATCGGCGCTAGTCCATTCACCCGTCTCTTTTAGCGCTCTATCGGTTAATCTCTCTATCTCAGTTAAAAGTTGTTCAGTCTCCATATCGACACATACCATATCCGGTTCCACTGGATCCCATTCTAAACTATTTGGACTCGAAACCCTGGACCAAGGAGATGCTGTCAGACTAGATGGTTGACTGTTATTAGCTGACGTCTGTGTTAGAGAATTGTCTGTATCTCCCCTTTCATCCTCCATGATTGGTATCGGCATCCCTGCGCAAGTACAATGTACAATATGTCTATGTATCGTGAGAGATTTATAAAAATAACGTAATGTGATAGATTACCTTCGTGTTCCCATTCAAGGTCCAGCGATGATCCCGGAGTGGATGAAACATAAGCCTGTTGTTTCATTAGCGTCCTCGCATCAAGAACTTGAAACGGCATATCCAAACCGGAACTGAAAATAATTACATGATCTTGTAGTCTTTAACACGCGCAACAATCCCAGAGATGTTACCGGAGCTAAGTAATAATGTACCTTGTGGAAACATCGTTTCTGGAACTCAATCTGGCATACTTATTGCCACCTCGTGACCACCTGCCATCCTCCAATAATTCCAGAGTCACCGGAACTCCATGTCTTTTCTATGATTCAAACACATATATAACTTCATAATGTAAATCAAGATGTTATTGTGAAAGAGAAGCAACAGCTCTGGTATATTCTAGTAACGTTCTTATCTTCTTATACACTAAATGAAGCATAAGATGCATCATTTACCTTGAATCTCTTTAAAGAGAGGAACGATAAGAGACTGTATCCAGTAAGCATGGCAGATAAACGCAACATTAATATCACAAATCTAAATTAGAATTAAGTAAGAAAGTTGTCTTTCAATCACCTTTTTGATCCATTAGCTTGGTCTTCGTGCCCTTGGACGTCCACGAACTAAACATAAGACAGCAGAGTTACTTCCGCTAGCAAAAGCACAGTTTATGAAACAAGCTTGGATATATATACCTCAACTTGTTCTTCTTCTTGGGGGGACATTCTGGTATGCCTTTGATAAAACCTGAACATACAAAAAAACAGTGAAACAGCGAAACACAATGCGCTCCTTTACAAGATCTATCATACACTAGGAAGACTCTCCGTTGGAAGTGAAAGAAATTCTTATCAGAACATAGGATTCAATACATCTTTCATGATTTCACTCATTCGTAGCGTGTAACTTTAATCACATATTAGTATTTAGTATAACTAAAGATCCATGACTCATGCGACTAAAATATTGACTAAAATCACAGATACGATCCCTTTATTTAACCGAGCTTGGAAAGATTGTTTCTCAGTGTTCAACGATTATCCGTCGGATACCCTAGCCAGCCGAGGTGTGATTTCAATTAGACCCTGGTCCAATTCTAACCTGTACGGCACGGAATCTGTGACTTTCGTTAAACAGCGGCCGAGACAGGCCCCCATGACCTGCCAGCCCACGGCGCCGCGCCGTCATCTAATTGATATGGATGTGTTCGGATGCCAGCGTTTAACTCCACGTGACACGTGAGGACGGGAACGACGGCGTCCTTCCACCAGGTGCTGCCCGGAGTGCCCGGTGCCGACGGTACCCCGATCGGTCACGATCGCTCATCGCTTCCGCGACATCGATGTAAGAAAAAAGCGTTTGGAGTAGTTTGGTACAGCTGTTATCTGCGCGCGGGATTGGAAACCAATGTAGGGGGGAAACACGAAGCGCGCTGTGAATATGTTAATACATGTGTCGAATATTGTTGTACATATGTGTTGGAAAAGGCGCGAAAATTTAATATTCCAACTCTTGGAAAAACGCGCGAGAGATTTCTTTTTCTTTTTCGCAATACTGAGATTAGTTCTCTCGCTTAGCTCGCTTCGTATTGCGAGAGTAACTGTCAGCGCGAAAATCGTGTTTTATATGACAACTGATGTCAAACAGATTATTACGGAAAAATCTTGTCGAGATAAAGTATATATATCGTCGGAAAATGCTAAATGTGTTTTTATAAAAGAGGAATCTTTCAATTTTAATTGTACAATCACGTATACCGTGATTTTTTATTCATTTACGTGTGACATGAAGAAAGAGCTCTTTTAGTTAAAGAAAAATTTACAACTCGCAATTTTATATATGTATTTTATAGTTACGCGTTTGTTTGTATTAATCATTTTAGCTTTCATTATATACATAATGTGTGTATTAATACGTACACATATGTGTACGATATTAGAGAATAAATGGCGTACGCGTAGCGCATCAGTTATAAAATAATATATAACTTGCGTTCTTTCTTGCGCCCTTAAAATGTAAGAGTAGGAAAGAAAAAAGGAATAATAAGGCAGTTCTCGGAAAATTGAAAGCCTTAGATTTTGTATTTTTCTATCACTTCCTATACTTATAACTTCCTTATATTATCTTTTTCATACTTTGACTTTGAATTGAAGATTTCTTAAAATTCTTGACATTGCAATCTTCAGAATTTTTATTAGTGCAACTTCTTTGTTAATTATGTTCTGATACTTTGACGCTCTAAATGAAGTAAACATAGGAAATTTTTTAATAATGAAATAATTCCAAGTGTTTTATTGTCATAAAAGGAGTATTTATTGAAAAATATTGCAATTATTGCAATAGAACAAGTTATAATTATAAATATAAAATACAATACTTTATATACAATATACTGCATTAAATACAGAATCAATAAAAAGACTGATAATAAAAGTTTTGGAAGTTTTATCAATGTCCAAATTTGTCTTCGTATGGTCTTTGTGTCATTGTCAGAGACAATTTTGCATTTATAAAATGCAGATCATGTTTTGCACACATACGTATACGCAAGTCTACATAAAATAAATTTATACCATTTATATTTATTATGCTTAAAAAATGAACATCATAATTTATTTAAAAATTGTTAATAATGCAAATAAAGTATCTCCAAAACTTTTATTAAAATGCACTGATTAACAATCAGTACATTCATGGATGTCATTTCAGCACAAAGACAGAACTAAATTAAATAAATATCATATCATTCCTGTCATATATTCACATATTTTAGACACTTTATATATTGTTTAAATTGAATTTTTCTTTCAATCTTTATTCAAGTAAATTTTAATAGATATGATTAAATTAATTTTAAGTAGCCAGTAACTCGAAGAATAATCTTACACATATATTTAATATATCACACGGATGTCTTCCTCATAATTAAAATATACACTTAGTAAATTTTAATATAACTAATTTACTAAAATTTACAAAATGCGTATTCACATCGAAATACAAAAAAGACATACGAAATTACTTAAGTATGTTGATTTTATTTCACTGTGATGCATTAACTGCCATGTTTCACTGAGAAAGGAGGTTCATAAACTAAAATACCTGTCTCATTTAATTCTCGCAATACCTCCGTATTTCGTCTCGCGATTCGTTGTCTTTTTCATGTTGCTATAACAATGCATCATTATCAATGCACCGCCCGTGAAACTTTGCACCGACGCGACGTTGATGTACACTTTTTGCGTAACATTTTATACATTATCTCTCATAATATATTAATTCAATTTTTAAATTGTACAATAGCCCCAACGTGTTTAATAATTTATATCTTGATACAATACAATCGCGTTATTTTAAACAATATTGCTAATAAATAAACGTCACCTCTTGCACACGTACATATTAACAATTTGTAGTTCGATGTAAATATACACAATTGTTTCTTGTTTATCATTGCACTACGTTAGCCAACACTTTTCCTTAGTCATCGTAGTTTATTAACTCCCGTGACGATTAGTTTACTTCGTGTTGTATTTCGGCCCTTTCACGTTGCTACAAACATACATTGCCCAACGCTCGTGAAGCTACGCGGCGACGTAATAATTTTCTTCTTTTTCTTAGTTCGTTCAATGAAAAATGCCAGTTGAGTTTTATAAAAAATGCAAATTATTGAAAAAGAGCAGGTTTTCAAAGCGAAGAAAGAAACGAACGGATAAATTAATAATGAGCGCTCTAAGAGAATTGGAGGGCGTTGCACCCATTTAGATATTCATAGACTATTTAGCGATGCCATAGCGGGGCCATCTAAATTCGTTTCTTCGAACGAGAATTGCACACCTGTGCAAAAAAAGATGCGGCAGACATTAATATCTGAAATATTTACGAGCGCTCGCAAAACTTTGCAGTTTTGCACCTCAGCACGTGTGTTTCAGAATTTTTTCCGTGAGCATGCGTAATTGCTCCCTGAGAAGCAGGGGAATGTTAAATTAAAAAAAAAATGCCAGTCTTCGTTTAGACTTCGACATGGACAGTTCTAAGGAATTGGCATACGCAGGTGTCTATATTTTTCTATCGTTATCGCTAAGTTTTGTGTCAATAAACGTATAAAATAGACAAAACTGTTTGTGAGACTCGACACTGACTGTAAATCTACATATATTGTTATTAGAGTACAAGATTTCACGTGTGAATTCTTGTTACTTCATCGGTGATTCAAGATGTGCTGTTTTCTTGACAATGTCAATTAATAGAATGTGGTCAGCAGATTTTAAAGATTAAAATTTTTACATAAATGTACTTCGCTAAACATCTCGAAAAATTTACCGTGAAACTTCATCAATTTTCACGCCCTATTTCATCGTTATTTAGCTAATTAATTTTTCTGAAAAATAATATAATTACAAATATGATTTTATTTTTAATTTACTTGAACTGCGCGAAGTTATTAAAATTTATTGACCGTTTTCTATCTGTCGATTTAATCAGTAACAACATGGTAATTACACAGACCTAGAATGGGCCATCGGAATAAATCGCTTTACTCTGGAAATGATTGGTTTATGGCCTGACGAGAAGTTAAGCAATCGACAGAAATTCTTGGCGAACCTCCGGGCTTTCGTTATTTTCACTACGTTGATTACTGTGTCAATCATACCCTCGATATTTTCGCTGGTGAGGGTCTGGAACGATATGATAGCGATAATAGACAACTTGCAAATCACATTACCTTTCTCAGCTACCGCCGTGAAAATCATCATTATGTGGCTTCGAAAAGAAGGTGAAGATTGATATTTATTGTGACAGAATAGCTAAGTCCTATTTAAGCTCGTTTCCTTGAGGAAATTTAAAGTATAATATCTTTCTTGCTTCTACTTTTTTCTTTTAGACATCGATTGCATTTAGTTTGTCCAATTTTTCACAGTAATCTTATTGAAAATATATAACGGATATTGAATCGTACAGATAAAAAATTCTCGATATTCTTCGCTATTTCTATTATGTCGCTGTCGCGAATATTTAAATCAGTATTAACATCCTTATAGACCTTATATTTCCAATTCATACAGTAAGAATCTAATTTGCTAACTATAAAAGTTAAACGGAAAATTTCCCGAGCAAACTATAAAAGACGTTTGTTTAAATTAAAAAAAAAAATATTTTATACAATAAAAATAACAATAGTTAATATTTTGAGGAAGACTTACTTAGTCTTCCTCTTAGAACTCATATGGTCAATACACCAGTACCCAATAAAATTACATTTAAAAAATGTAAAATTAAACAGTAATCTCATAAAGAAGTTATAATAATTTGCAAAGCTTTGCATTCTGGCTTCTGTTAAGATCTCACATCGATCGTAAGCATGGTCGTGGCAGATTGGATCAAAACGAAGACGGAGGAGGAGCGCGATACCATGATAAAGCAGGCAAGGGTTGCGAAAAGAATCGTCGTGTTTGGATGCATTATAATGGTCTTTTCGATAATCATTATTGCCATCCCACCGTGCTTCGGTCACTCCATGAGATACTTGACGAACATCACGGATGTTCCGGGGAAACCGTTGTTGCTGCAAACCTATTATTTTCGAGATGTGACGCAGAGCCCGTACTTCGAAATCGCGTTCGTCGCTCAGGCCGCGGCTGTTATAATGGCGGCGTTCTCTTACACGGGCATCGACAATTTTCTGGGCCTGATTGTCTTTCATATATGCGCCCAGATGGAAATTCTTAAGATGCGATTGCTCAATCTAGATGAATATAAAAACTTCAACTTCGGACTGTCGATTAATGTCCAGAATCACATGCGTCTTATCAGGTTGCAGATTTTGCGTTCCCTTATTTTAAATTGCCACCGGCTTAGATAGTTTGATTAATCTTACTCGGCGCTCCGTTCATTTCTTAATTGTGACAAAACAAGAATCTAGCGCTAACGAGTTCGCGATTTTATCAGCTGAATTGTATTTTCTGCACGTTGTAGAAGAGAAAATAATTTTCCCGATATAAACATCCTATCAAAAGTGCATACGACTATGAAAGAAAATTTACAATAAAGCTAATACTTTAATGGAGATATATTGCACGATAATATACGTTCTGACCTGGTCAAATGCAAAGTCTATTACGAAATTTATTGTATCATCAAAATCGAGTTTATATTTTATGAAACGTTGTGCCCTCCATAGGTCCATCGATATCATCGAAAATACATTCAACTTGATGCTCCTGGCGTTGTTAATATATTTCAGCATACTATTTTGTCTCCAAGGCTTTCTGATAATTAGTGTAAGTCATAAAAAAAGAACTTATTATTTTGATAAGTAAAAGGGAGTCAGGCCAGAATATTTATTATCGTACAAATACGTAAGTCTATTATAAAGACTCGATATTCTCTTTCAGTACTTTTTCACATAAGTATATATACACATGTTTTAATTTGGACAATGGTAATTCCATTAATTTGTGTATTTTACAAAGATATCGTTGTCCATTTTTACAATGGTATAGCTAATACAAGATAAAAGAAAAAAAATATATAAATTATGCAAACGTATGCATAGATAATTGATGACGGTGGCAACGTCTCCTTCCCGCGTATATGTTGGCTCGTCGCGGTGCTCATTAATACGTTCGTTCATATGTGCCTTTACTGCGTGGTCGGTGAAATTCTCATTGCAAAAGTGAGTATTATTTTCTTTCGCCATATTTTTTTTATTCTATCTTGTTGCGTCAATAATTGTTGGTACGATCGGTTGTGAATGCAGTACAGTAAAATATGTGAGATTCTTATCGATCTTCAATATATGCTTCGCATATATCAATTTCCACAATTCTTTCTTGAAGCGCAACATTAGCATTCTAGTCTGCAATCTTTTAGCACACTAATTAATACACCTATTTTATTTTTGTTATAAAAGATTGTGATATGAATTTAATTAATCATATATAATACAGTGTGAAGATATACATCATGCGGTGTACGACTACGCGTGGTATTTGCTGAAACCGAATGATGCCAGAAATCTGATGTTGATAATGATTCGTGCTGACAGACCTCTTTACATCACCGCGGGAAAAATATTTCCAATGACGCTATCCATGTTTTGTAGCGTAAGATAACCTACTATTATTCGTATAATTGTCCACATCACATAGTAGAATATTAGAACAATATATTTAAATTATAAATGCTCATTTTCAGTCGCTTAATCTTTTATATTTTTGCTTTCAGCTGATCAAAACGTCAGCCGGATATATATCGGTATTGCTCGCCAATCGATGATTTTCAGACATTGGACAAATTGACCAGGACAATTTTCAATGGAATCTGATTTTTCGCAATGCAATAAAAAATACTATGTATTTTATATTGAATAATGTTTAATCGATGCGCCAAACGAATTCGTTTTTCCATGTGAACAAAGTGAAATCGTTAATTTGGAGAGAAACTCATATGTATATTACAAACTCCAATAAATAATATTGCATTAACAATGCCGTAATTTTTATCAGTAATGCTTTATGTATACTATTTAGTTATACTATTTTATCGTTCAAGGGTATAAATCTAATTAATTCGGAATTTTGGAAGATGATATAAAAATATTCGTTTAAAATACATAAAACTAGTAACGTTATGTCTATATTATCTCTCATAATATATTAATTAATTCAGTTTTTAAATTGTACAATAGCCCTGACGCGTTTAATAATTTATATCTTGATACAATACAATCGCGTTATTTTAAACAATATTGCTAGTAAATAAACGTCACCTCTTGCACACGTACATATTAACAATTTGTAGTTCGATGTAAATATACACAATTGTTTCTTGTTTATCATACAGCGTTAGCCAACACTTTCCTTTTTAAGGTACATTTATCTTATTTTATTAACTCCCGTGACAATTATTTTACTTCGTGTTGTTGTATTTCGGCCCTTTCATGTTGCTACAAACATACATCGCCCAATTTATCGCTCGTGAAGCTACGGGGCGTCATAATAATTTTCTTTTTTTTTTTTTAAGTTTGTTTTCAATGAAAAATGCCAGTTGAGTTTTAGAAAATGCAAATTGTTGAAAAAGGGCAGGGTTTCAAAGTGAGGAAAGAAACGAGCGGATAAATTAATAATGAGCGCCTCAAAAAAATTAGAGAGCGTTGCACCCATTTAGATATTCATAAACTATATATTTAGCGATGTCGTAGGAGGGCCATCCGAATTCGTTTCTTCGAACGAGAAATTGCACCCCCGTGCAAAAAAAGATACGGTAGACATTAATATCTGAAATATTTACGAGCGCCCGTACTTTGCAGTTTTGCACCTCAGCACGTGTGTTTGAGAACTTTTTCCGTGAGCATGCGTAATTGCCGTGCTCCCTGAGAAGCAAGGGAGAATGTTGAATTCATAAAAAAATGCCAGTCTTCGTTTAGACTTGGACATGAACAGTTCTAAGGAATTGGCATACACAGGTGTCTATATTTTTCTATCGTTATCGTTAAGTTCTATGTCAATAAACGTATAAAATAGACAAAACCGTTTGTGAGACTCGACACTGACTGTATATTTACATATATTGTTATTAGGGTACAAGGTTTCACGTGTGATCTGTTGCTACTTGTCGGTGATTCAAGATGTGGTGTTTTCTTAACAATATCAATTAATAGAATGGTCAGCAGATTTTAGATATTAAAATTTTTACATAAATGTACTTCGCTGTCCATCTCGAAAAGTTTATCGTGAAACTTCGCCAATCGAGCCCTATCTTATCGTTATTTAGCTAATTAATTATTCTGAAAAATAATATCATTACAAATATGACTTTATTTTTAATTTAATTAAACTGCGCGAAGTTATATTAAAATTTATTTACCGTTCCCCATCTGTCGATTTAATCAGTAACATCATGGTAATTACTTAGACCTAGAATGGGCAATCGGAATAAATCGGATTTCCCTGAAGATCATCGGTCTCTGGCCGGACAATAAGTTAAATCGTCGGCAAAGATTTTTTGCGGATCTACGCGCCACCGTAATTTTTATCACGATGCTTTCCGCATCGGTCATACCCGGGATACTAGCATTGCTGAGGGTCTGGGGCAACATGATGGCGATGACGGACAACATGCAAATCGGTCTGCCCTTCTCAGTGACCGTCATGAAATTTATCATCATGTGGTTCCGTAAAAAAGGTAAATCTCTTTTTTTTATATTACTCGTTTGCTCTGTAATATTTTACCTACTTCTCGAAGAGCGTCAATTCGATCCGTATTTTTGCATTCTTCTCCGAAGATCTTGAACCGGTCATAAACATGATCGTGGAGGATTGGCTCAGGACAAAAACCGTGCAAGAACGAGATACTATGATAAGGCAAGCGAGAATTGCTCGAATGATGGTCATGTTCGGATGTATCATGATGACCTTTGCGTCCGTCATTCTCATCATTCCTCCTTGCTTCGGATATACGACGAGATATCTGACAAACTTGACAGACCCGGGAAGACCGATGCTGGTGCAGACGTATTATTTGCGAGACATAACGGAGACCCCGTACTACGAAATCGTGATCGTCGCCCAAGCTACGTCGATCTTGATGGCCGCGATCTCTTACACGGGCATCGACACTTTTCTGGGCTTGCTCGTATTTCACATATGTGCCCAATTGGAAATCCTCAAGGAGCGATTGCTCAACTTGAACAGCTTCAAGGACTTCAGCATCGGATTATCCTTCAATATCGAGGATCATCTGCGTCTCATTAGGTGATATTCAACTCGATATACAATTTTACATTGTTATTTTTTGAAATAATATAAAAGAAGACGGAGGAAGTATGGCAATTTAATTGAAGTTACTGAAATATCGCGCGTGTGAACCAAATACATTTATTTAGATTTAGAACAACTCGATTATTATTACGTTACTTATAACGCGATAATAATTACTGGACTATATAAACTTGTAACAAGCAAATTGTATGTTATACGAATTTTCATACACAAATTTCAAACGATACGACTGTCAAGCGGTCAATAAAGTGTACCTTGTTTTTTTATCACGTTTTCATATATTAATTCCATGTGTCTCAATTTTTGATTGTCATGTCGAACACGTTTGCAATCGTTTTCGCAAAATAATATAATGCATATGGTACATGTTCTTCAAGATTTTTTATTTGGCGAAACTGACTAATGTTACACTATACGATATCTTATATCGTAGGTCTGTTGATGTAATCGACAACACGTTCAACTTGATGCTTCTGACACTATTGGTGTATTTCGCTATGTTATTTTGCCTACAAGGATTTCTAATAGTTACCGTAAGTTTACGAACGGGAGAAGAGAGTTATCTCTTTTTGAAATAATATAAAATATTCGTTGCCACACTTTCTTGCTGGAAGCGGAAAACGAAAAGACGTTATTCGCGATTTATCTCAATTCTTCCATGCAAATCATACGTATGCATACCCCAAAGGAAACGAAATTAAGATATTAAAATGAGTTTTTCAAACAAAAACGTCGATAGAAAGTATGTTAACGTGTTTAGATCATTGACGGAGGCAGCGACGGCGACGCTGTTTCTTTCATGCGAATATGTTGGCTGGTTTCGATTCTCATTAATACATTTGCTCACATGTGCCTATACTGCGTGGTCGGGGAGATTCTTATAGCCAAAGTAAGTATTTATCCTTGTACTAATTAATACAACGAATACGGTAGATAATATTGTAAAATTGCAATACTTCTTTCATCAAATTAAAAGAATTTCTAGAAATAACAATTTGTCTTGATATTTTACACAAAAATCGTTTTCAAATTCATCGTTTATTGTTACTTACGAGTGATGGTCTTAAGTAGAGAATTCATAATGTAACAAAAATTACAGGCCGAGGGAATATTTTATGCGGTGTATAACTACACGTGGTATTTGAAGACGCCGAATGAAGCCAAAAATTTGATGATGATAATGATTCGCGCCGAAAGACCTCTATACATTACCGCGGGCAGGATATTTCCCATGACATTGTCTATGTTTTGTAGTGTAAGTGTTCGAAATTCGTCTATGTGTCCGTACAGATGCGATTAACTAGCAACAGTATTTCATTAATATGAAATTAAATTATTAATGATTTGTTGTTTAATATACGTGAGAAAGAGATTCGAGATCATCGACAAATTATAATTACAAAATATAATAATTAGAGATTTTACAAATATTATTAAACAAATTATAGTTAGAAATATTAAGTAATACCGATTGAATTAATAATTGATAAGTTAAGTTAATCGAAGGTTGATCTAAGATCTAATCTTATAAAATGGGCCATCTTATTTATTTTCGGTTCGTTAATTATTTATTATCCGCATATATCCGCATACACGTTATTATCGTTATATGTTTGTATATTCATTATAATATTCATTAATATTACTTCTCTTTTTCAGTTGATAAAGACGTCAGCCGGCTATATATCTGTACTGCTCGCTAATCGATGATTTTTTCAATAAATCGATCAGAAATTCAATAAGGACATCACTTGGCTATATACTTACGTAAGCATTAACAATAAAAATAAGAAAAAAATTGTAAAATTATAATTACTAATAAATATAATAATGTTATGATGAATTAATTATAGACAAATGATAAAAAAAAGAAATTATATGTATATATTATAATGAAAATATTTTTGATACCACGCACACACAATCACCCAAGAATGTTTTGTGCTCAATTCGTAGCATATGCATTATTTATTATTTATAAAATACGAAATACAGGATGAATCACTAAAGGTGTTACAGGCTAATATTACTGATTTTTGAAACTGAACAAGATATGAAAGTCTTATTTTCCAGTGACTGTTTGGTACCGAAATGGACATTGCGTGATAAAGTTAATTTTTTTTGTTCTCTTCGATAAACAGTTGCGAGAAAATAAGAATTTCATATCTCGTTCAGTTGTAAACATTTATCCTATAACACATTTAGTGATTCACCCTGTATACTATAAATAGTATAAATTATAAACTAACAAAGTTATAAGTTAAAAAATAGTATATCTCCATAAATACAATATATATCTATATATTGTAACTTATTATACATACTATATTTATAAGAAATATATATATATATATATATATTTGATTACAATACCGTTGTACGAGCCGTTTGCGTTACTCGAAGATCAATTTGAAGCTAATTTTATCCGTTTCCGTTATCCACACTGCAAGTATCTCCCTTGATGGCCTCGATTCTTTTATATCTCGTACGAAAAGCAATTAAATTCGGAGTGAAAGTACTTCTACAGCTACAAAATAGTGACGTATAATAATACGATTTCGCGGTACTTGCGCATGTGATCTTTCTGCTTGTCCGGCCGGTTAGGTTAGGTTAAGATGTATCTTTGACATCAGCGCACTCTCTGGGGCCCTGATGCTGTACTCTCTCTTAACAACAGTCGTTAATGTACGTGTTATCACACTTATCACAGTTATCACAAATACAAGTAACTGTGCGCTGGCTCGGGGCTACCCGGGGCTGCCTGGCCCGGCGTTAGCCGAGAAAAAGATAAATGTCAGAGCCAGGGATAAATACAACTTTACGTCAAAGATAACCGCGGGATACGCGCATGCGTCTTGTACGATAGACCCCGTGTTCCTTTTTTAGGGCCAATTTCACCAACCACAGTTAGCTTAACCGACGGTTAAAGTTAGCAGGATTGACTAATAGAAAGCAGGGTGGATTCATTTCTATTGGTCAATTCTGTTAACTTTAACCATCGGTTAAGCTAACTGTGGTTGGTGAAATTGGCCCTACTGGCAGTGCTGAAAATATATAGTTTGCGTCACGTAACTATAGATTTTCAGTACTGGCAGTGAATAAAGGAAAGTTGAATCAAGTTGAATAGAGAAACAGAGATTTCAAACGTTTATCTACCTTTAGATGATTTTCCGGCCGGCATGGGCATAGCATGGTATATCTATAGAATAGTAAGAGGAAGAAACGTACTGTGTCCTTGAAGAAATAACTGGAATAACTGTAAAGATTCTGGGGGCTGCGAATCACTTGCTACAAATGCTTTGAAGCTTTGAAGCGTTCAACTGACCAATTAGGACAAAGAAATCTATGCTTTGAGGCGCCAAGTGGACTGCAACCTTGGTCCGTACCTTGGTATTGTCCGTAACTGTGTCTGTATCGTTCGTGCTTCAAAAAGGGAGGAGTGAGAACACGTGGAAGCTAGGAAGACGAAGGCGAATTGATTGATATAAGAAAGAATTTTGACGGAAATCATTCATCTGCTTGAAAATGGCGAAACATATAAACTCGATGAACGGTCTAAAGATCAGGTACGTAAGAATTACGATGATGAACTCGCATGTTCCGAGTCCGTTCATCCGTTATTACGTCTTACAATCGTATCGTTTCAGCGACTTGATAAACGAAGATGGAATTACATTCGAGATTGGAGAACAGTTTGATAATGAAGACGACGAGGAATTCGCGTATTCGCCACACGTACAGTTCAGCAATGAGGAGATGCTGAATATGTTAAACATGAACAATTTCGAAGATGAGGATGAGGATAATGATGAAGGAACTGTATCTCTTTGTGGCATGAGCTTCTCGAAACTGAAAGCGAAGATGACACCCTTGATCCCAGATCAAAAAGTTAGTCAAGTTTTATATTATTTTTTCAGTATCATTTTGTTTTCTTGCAGAGATGACATTGGCTGCGTTCCAATATTCACTCTCAGTAAGTTTACGTCATGTACACTATACATTTTTAATTAACACAGTGAATATTGGAACGCAGCCATTGTCTTTAATTTTATCAATAAATATGTCAATGCGATCAAATAAGATCACAAGTGTAATTTTAACTTAGGCTTAATGAAATTTATGTCATCAGGTCATGAAGTACGTTAAGCAGAAAGGTGTTGGAGAGGTTGTACCGCAAAATGCTCAAGTCACTGTCAATTATATTGGATATTTCGAGTACAGAGATGAACCTTTTGATTCTACTTACTCTTATGGGAGACCAAGATCGATGCGTTTAGGCCAGGGTTATATTATACCCGGTTTAGAATTTGGAATATGTTCCATGAAGAAACACGAAATAGCAGTGTTCCTGATACACCCTGATTTGGCTTACAAGGCCATCGGTTGTCCACCACGTATCCCACCTAACGAAGAAGTGGTATTTGTCGTTCACTTAATTGATTATGTTGACGATGGCTGTGCACTTACGTATCAAGATCTCAGCGCAGAGGAGAGACGATTGTTTAATCATGTGGCAGAGCCTGTGAAGCATATGTTTGTGACTGCTAAAGATTATTTTACAAAATTTAACTTCAAGTGGGCGATACGAGAGTAAGTAACTGACGTGTAATTTCTGCAAGTACATGAGATCACATCTGTTAAATATATTTTTTTGCAGATACAGAAAAATTATTAATTGTCTGGAGACAGTCAAATTGGAAGATAGTTTAGAAGAAGATAAAATGAATGAGATTCTCTCACGAGCCTATACTAATCTTGGACTTTGTTACAATAAGGAAAACATGCCTCTTAAAGCTTGCATAGCTTTAAGGCAAGTGCCAGTACCAACAGCTAAAAGCCATTATCAGTATGTACTGTCGTTAGCTGTTTCAACTATTTATATGTATAAACTATATGTATTAAATTAGTATTATAAAACATTTTTTTCTTGCATTCCAGTTTTGGAAAAGCTTTGCTGAATATTGGAGAATACGATGATGCAATGAAGGAGTTGCAGAAAGCTCGTGTGTTAGAGCCGCAAGATGAAGCCATTAGAAAAGCAATTCAAATAGTAAGTTGAAAAGATTTTTCAAAAATAGTTTCTTTATAATAATATATATATTTTTTATAGACGAACGCGAAACAGCGTGAGCATCGCGAAATAGAAAAGCGCTTGTGCGAAAATTGCTTTCGATCCAAGGAAGGACGAACGAAAATTACCGAATTTCGAAAAGCCGCGCGCGATTTGTGTGAAAACCTTATCGAAGGTAATGACGTATTGAGACAACCTGTATCAGAAGGCTTCACAAAAGAAGAGCAAGGAATTCTACGTGAAGAAGCTGCTAACTTTGGACTAGATGTTGTTACATCTACCAGAAATGGCAAGGAGACTGTATACCTCCAGAAGAGCAAATCATAAAGTGGTTACATTTTTATTATTTAAAATTGCAATATCAAGGACTAATTAATATACAAACCTGGTGTTGCAATCACATTTACAAACGTAATTACTTTGATTTAAGTTGAAGCATTGTAATATATTATAATGCGACCAAAGAGAATTATATTCAGGATTAAAATAGTATATTAAAGTCTTATATAATGATGATTTTGTATTTTTTTTTTAATAAATGAAAGTTATAATAAATAAGTTTACAAAAACTTTGTTGTTTATATCTGACCAATCCTGAACACGTAGTACATGGAACTTTTCCATGTACACTAAATCAATCTGTATAATGCACAATACTCTCGTTTAGATATATTTGAAGTAAAATACCGGAAGTTCGTGGAGCGATTCTTGTTACGCATTTTCTTGTTCGACGTTAGTAATAAGATCTAATGGATTGAGTGATCTAAGAATATTTCTGTTTATGTAACGTATAAAGGTATATAAGAAACTGTCCCAACAAAAACGTCGAAAGATATCACAATGTCACTGATTACAACGTTCTTCGTCTCTCTGTTTCTATGTAATGTGGTTCCTCATATTTAAATGATTTCAATTTTGTCATAAAACTACAATAATCCAGTTATACAAATAGAGGTAAATGTACCGTTGATTTGTATTGTTTTCTTTTTCTAGATATACCTTTTAATACAGCTGAGTTATCAGGCTTACAACTGGGTAATCGGCCATCGATTCAAAATTTTCAAGACCACCATCCCGAAGAAAGTTTCCTGGAGATTCTTTTGAATCCGACGACGATCGTTGACGATCGTGCGACGATCGGCAATGTGCTCGATTTGGAGTTTAAAGCGGAGGATGTAAATTATGAGCTTTATACGAAGGACAACAAAGAGCAATCTGTATCTCTACGAGTGGGTAATGCTGCTCTATTGAAGGATTCACCATTTAATCCTGCATGGCCAACCAAGATCATTATTCATGGATGGACAGAAAGCGGAAATGCGTTTTGGGTACACGATATTCGGCGAAATTATCTTAGCGTTGGGGATTATAATGTAATTTGCGTAGATTGGTTCGCTGGTTCGACTAAAGAATATCTAACGGCTGTCAAACTTATTCATCAGGTGAGCCATGAAACAATTTCACATATTCTACGAAAGATGGACAGTATAAAAGTATTATAGAATTAATTAAAAAATTAATTAAAGTAGAGACTTTTAATTCTAATTTTTCTGAAAAAAACGTTGCTCGCAAAATTTACATTAATACAAAATATAATAAAAAAAGGCTTGTCTTAGAATAATGCAAATCACGCTACAATAGAAAAAATTTTTTCGTTACACAATATACAAATTGTATGCAAATCACAATGAAAGATGAGAATGATATTTCGCGAAGTTACGAGAATTCCTGATTCGATTAGCCTTCATGCGCGTTTATCTTTTATTCTTTTGCAAGAACATGATGCGAAATCAATGGATTCGTGTTTTGCAGGTGGGAGAATACGTGGCTGCGTTTATCGAATTTCTCGGATCGGAGACTCAAGTTGATTACAATAACGTTCACATTTTGGGTCATAGCTTGGGTGCTCATGTGGCCGGATACGTCGGTAATTATATGCCGAAGAAACTCGGTCGAATCACCGGACTCGATCCGGCTGGGCCGGCATTTGAGATGCCGTATCTTAAAGATACAGAGGAGCGACTGGATGCCGCGGACGCCAATTTTGTGGATATTATTCACACTTGTGCCGGCAGTTTAGGCTTCCTCAGACCCATTGGCCACGCGGATTTTTACCCGAACGGCGGAACGTTTAGGCAACCCGGATGCCCCGTATTTTCATCCCGTACGACTCCAGTATTGAATTTTACAATATTATGTATAAGTGGATATTGATCTAGCTTGTATTTTTAGAAGCCTGCAGCCACGGTAGGTCACACCAGTTTTTTGCCGAGTCCATCGTGCATCCTGATGGGTTTGTTGCCGTGCAATGCTCCAACTGGATGGATTTCCAGCTTGGTAAATGCGACAATAATAATTCTAACACCGCCGTCATGGGCGAATCTATCAACCCTGATACTCAAGGTATTTTTTATTTACTAACCAATGCACAGCCACCGTTTGGAAAGGGCAAGATGAAATAAACCATGATGGAAATAGATATATAACTTCGATATCTACACTTATAAGACGTATATATGTATTTCATTACAATTAGCGATATCGCAAGAAAACATATAAACGTAGAAAGTACTTTACTTTATATGATGTCTCTATCACACATTACGATATAAAATAGACCGATATAAAATAATAAAAAAATTACGCGTATGGAAATTTGCGTGTAATAATGGAGTATACTGCGCGCATCGGTTTTATTATTCAAGCGATTCAAGCCATTTCAGCAAGCGTCGCCTCCCCACTGGACGGTTTCTCGATTTCGTCTCCAAATCGCATACGATACTTTCTTCGGACTATATCCCAGTCGATAACGTTTTGTATCTTCGGAATATTATTTAAAGAAGCTTGACTGATGGTCGGACTTGGTTGAAGTAACGAGAAGTTAATTCGTTCCTTCGCTGCTCGCGGTAGTGGAAGCATTCTAGTATTCTAAAACAAAATAGGAAGAGGTCATGTAACATTTATTTAATAAAAAGAAAAAGAAAAGTCATCTGAAATCTTAATAAAACAATTCGGACCTTCCTTCTTAATTTGGCTCATTTATATATAAATGGCTCTATTTTGCAAAAATATTTTTAGAAAATAACATTATTGTACACAGTTGAATGTGTCTCTTTAAATAAACTTTAATTTTATTATAAAAACATTTAAAAATTCTTGAAAATAATAGTAGGTAAACATAATAATATCTACGTACGGTAGAATATTTTGGTAAAACGCTTGGATGCACATCGGGTTCCATGTATCCACGCGATCTGCCGATCTTCTGCCTTGCAATTCGTTCCTTCATACAAGCGTTCTTAAGATATTCTGCCCATGTAGTAACGAGGTTTAACGGCGCGGGAGCTGTCCTTGTTCTTTTAAAAATAAGGGTCAGAATAAAATTACAGTAAAGATTTGCAAATTTAAAGGATGATGCATAAAAAATTGCACTTTAAGTTTCATTGAAAGTCTAATGAAAGAATTACATGGCGTTTAAAAACTTTTTGGGTATTTAACTGTCGATATATCACCATTCTAAAAATATATAAAAGTCTTACATTTTTACTTAATTTAAGGTAATTTAACGAAAGCGCAGTTGCAAGACCCATCTGTGTTGAAGGCTTAAAAATCAACGATTTAAATACTTTTGTGTTCGCGAAATATTTTTCGTTACAATTGTGTTTACTTACTTTTGCATTTTGCGAATTAATTTGCTGAGACCGTATTTCCACTCGATGTCACTCTGTGATTGAATGTTGTGATATGTGTCGCTCATCATAGCAATTAATAGATTAATCAACACTATGACACTGACGAGCATGTATAATGAATATGACACCTATTGAAACGAAAAGTACTTATTTCTTAAATTCTTAAACGGAGGTGATTATATATATAACTAGTTATATTATTTCCTGAAAAAATTACCTTGAAAAAGTTAACCGTCCACCACGGCTGCTGCTTGCTCCTTAATGAAACCGTAAAGGCGTTGGTCTCTTTTTGGCCGAAAATGGCGAAGAAAAGATTCTCCGTGATATCGATCACACTAACTTTCACTGTGCAAACAGAGAAAAAGAACGGTGAGTCAAAAGAATCTTACTGATATGTTAATCTTATCTTGTCGCACCTATTTATATTTTATTATAAATTATAGCGTTTGAATTAGTTTTATTCCTACGCTAATACAGCGGTATAATACAACTGAGGCAGGGTGTTCGTAACTAGTAATCATTGTTTTAGACATTCCAGTTATAATTGCAAATTTCGAACCACTGCTAATACATAATGGATTGGTGTTAACGCTATTCTATTCATTGTCATTTTGATTACAAGCAGAAAAAATCATATTATATTTACAGTTCTTGGACTATTAAATCGTAGAATATATTCATGCTAACGATAGTCAACTATCCTAATCTTCGTTCAGTAAAAATTGGCGATCAATCAGAAGAAAAGTCAGCGAGCTTTGTAAAACCTAAAACATGCGATGAGATGAGCATCGAGAGATTTCGATGAGCGAACACTTGACAATGAGTAATAAACTGCAAAGAGATGTCCACATTCGACATGTCGGTGAGAAGTTTTCTAAAACGCATTCACAAATGCAGGATGGATGCGATGAATGCGACTTGCAACGTGCGAACTTTGCATTTTGATTTTCGCTTTATGCACCCTGTGAAAAATAGAGAAATTTGAAAGGAATCGATGGAAATTTACTCTTTGTAAAATTATAAATTCTTAATCTCCGAAATCGGGAGTGAATTTTAGAATTATTGAATTTCTATCTTCTACCTCTATCTACGCATTTTATTTTTCTGGTAAAACAATCGACAATTAAGAAGATATTAATTCCGTGTATATAATATAAGACTATTTTTTAATTACATATTTAATTTTACATTTAATTTAAAAATTGTCTATGCGATACTTATACGTTGCGATTAGAAAGAAATAGAAGTGGATTCAAAATTTCTAAATCAAATCCCGATTTTAAAGATTAAACGTTCATCACATAGACAAAAATCTCTCATGTTGAATTCGCTTTAATTTAACTATTTCTTTTTACAGGGTGTACATTTATGATGCATGCCAGCCGAATTTACAACGTGCGAATGATCGAGAGGTGAATCCTGTAGACGAGATTAACTCCGATTAACATTTCAACAAATAATATACATGCTACACGTCAAGTTTATGTGTGTATATATAATAATGTGAGTTTCGAAGGCAATTCTAATATATTGTCCCTATACAGATACACATCCTACAAATATGTGTATCGAGCGCGCCGATATGTTACACGAAAATATCGTGAGCAACATGATGCAGGCATAATGATCGGTGCGTGCATCGTTGCAACTGAGCCGTTACGCAATTGCGCTCTATAGATATTTATATATGTATATATATATAGATATGTCGTACATATATGATCAATAAAACATTCCAGGTGGGAAGAGAATTTTATAATTAAATAATGTTGATGACTAACCGTCAAATGTAACGTGGAACGATCCCTATGCACACGGGGATTCCCCATGGTAGCCTCTAAAACGTGTTATAGGTAATCGATTAGACTATGGATCACAAGGAGTACAGGTTCGCTAGCTAACAATAACTGTACAGGCGACGCAAAGTTGAGCTTAGACGTTTATTTCGAAAATACTGACAAGGTCCTCCGTATATACGCCCCACAGCGATATATGTACAAATAAACGCAGTTAGTGCGGCGAATCTGCGAAAATAGGAAGAGCTTTGATCTCTCTTTTTTTCTCACTCTTTTTCGTGAGAGTTATATATAACATATATTGTCGGCAGGTATCTTTTCTCCTCGTTCAAGCTCCAAGTCCAAGCCCCGATTTATCGGCTGCACTCGACGAGCCTTCCAAAACTGCCAACGGATTCTCGGTCGACTCCTTGTTCTCCTCCACTGGCTTTTCTTCGATCTTCTCGCCGTAAAGATCTCTGTACTTGCGCCTGACGACCTCCCAGTCGACAACGTTGTCGATCTTGACGGTGTGGCTGAAGGACAGTTGGCTCCCGAGAGGACTCAAATGGGCCACTGATAAGTTGAAACTATCCTTGTGCCCAACCTGCGTCTTCTTTATCTTGGACAGCCATTTGGCTCCCATCTTGCTGCGAGGGGACATGCGAGAGCCGCCCATCAGGTGCATCAGAGAGGGCCGTGTCTTTTTGGTCATGCGTTTCTTGCAAACCTTGACGAAATACGTGATCCACGTGGTCAGGAGATTCAGCGGAGATGGTGCCGTGGTGGTCCTGTCGCGTATTGAAAAATTAGATTGATTAGTGCGACGATCCAATGGTGCTTTCATGCAACGTGCAACAACCTACCGTTCTTTTTTTTCTTTTTTTTTCTTCAGTACGTCTTATTACCTGTGCATATTTCGAATGAGCTTGCTCAGTCCGTATTTCCACTCGATGTCCGACTGCGCCTGTATTCGCTGATAGGTATCGCTCATCATGGCGATGAGGAGATTAATAAGCACGACCACCGACACCAACATGTAAATGCCGAAGGTGAGCTTGAAGAGGACGGTCGTCCATTTGGGCTGCATCGTTTCTACCTTGAACTGTTCGTGTGTCGTCTGACCGAAGATGGCGAAGAACAACAACTCGACCGCGAGTATGGGATCCATCCTGACTGTAAATACGCGTTAAACAATAACGTGTCTCGTAAGGTCGTGTATATTGCGCGTTGGACGTATGCAAAAATTCTCTGCGACTGCCCATACACATGCTAAACGTTGCTACTACCAAATGTCGCAAAAAGGATCGATTTCAAGCCATACAGGGTATATATGCTGCGACTCGTACGAATTCCTCGTTTTTTTTGCCTGTCGTCGGAAAAAGTCCAAGCGCCTAAGAAAAACGCGCTTTCGTCTAACGGGACGGTTTCTAATTTTAAGCGCATGAAACATTAAGGAAACTATAGGAGACTTGTGTGACTTATGTTACGTGCAATTATCCTAAATATTACAAATATTTAAAGGACATTTAACGGAGTAAGAGATGCTTAGTACTTTTAAACATTTGCGATATCAAGGATATTTTATTATTACAAACCGTCCTTATAAACGTTAGTTAAAGTTAACAGCTGAGACTTAGCTTTAAGATGTCCTTTCTACTTTTTTTCTATAAAAACATCCACGGATTCTCAGTCAGGCCATCTAACTTTAATTAACGTTTACAGCAACGTCTTTCTAATAAAAAATCTCGTCGCAACAAATCGATCGAGATAAAAAATCTGCGTCCTACGGATGATAACGCATTGCGGTGTCGCGGATGAATGATCCAACATTCAATGAAACATCGAGAGCGAGCGGATGTGATACGGGGGATTCGTGGGCGATTCGGCATTCGCAGGCGTCATCCGGTCGTGAAGTGTGACGGAAAAGGTATGATGTGTTGCGGCGGAATTGGCCCATTCTCATGTATCTCAACAAACAACATCAATTATATGCGTTCCTACGAGATTCATGTGTCACACGTCGTGAGACACTTTACTTACTTAGATGCTTAAATGCTCGGCTGGTCGCCGGTGCGTCGAGGATCGCGCGAGGATCCTCTCTACGATGGTCTCGCTCGATCGTCTGAGGATTTGTGTCTGCGGTAGC